GATGTTGACCATTCAATTCTGCAGTTTAATAAGCCGACAATTCTCGAAATTTTAGTGGTTTGAGACAAGATATTGTTGTGCTAAAAATGTTTAGTACAAGCTTTTTTTCAACACACAATCACGTCAAACTATTAAACATGTCAACAAAAGACACTTTTCAATATTAAAAGCTATTAGAGGAAAGATTAAGATCCCATAATGCAATTCAAAAGGGTTAAAATAAACATGAATCGCCAAATATACGGAAAACTCTTTATACAAGTATTTTTATCAGTGTGTCTAGTCATTGATCTAAAAGGCAAGACTCACAGTTTGGTGTAAGACAGCATGCCCTGCTGCATTTGACTGCAGTTTCCTCCAGGTAAACCCTCAGGATCTGAGCTCCTCGGCGCTGAGACTCCTCTGTGTCCACATACAGTCCTGGAAATCTGCGGATCCAGCAGCTCTTGTAGTACGATGTCGGAGAGCAGCTGGAGTGCGCGGAGCGGATCAGACCCAGAATCCACAGCAGGACCCATGGAGCGCTCATTGTTCGGATGGATTCGGGGCTGGAGAATCAGCTCATGTTGTTGTGTGGCGCTCGAGGTGTTTTCTGGCGCAGGTGAACGGTACCTGCGCAGGTAGAGCTACAGGTGTGATCATGATGATGATGATGATGAGCGCGCGCTAAAAGAGCGAGAGCGCGCCAGGGATTTGGAACGCGTTCTTTTAATACTTCCTAGTTCTTTTATCTACTCTTTTAACGGTATTTTTGTTCGTTTTTGTTTGTAAACAAACAAAAACAAATCTAATCACATTTATTTGGGTGGCACGGTGGCTCAGTGTGAAGGTGACAGGTTCGAGTCCCGGCTGGGCTAGTTGGCATTTGTTTGCATGTGGGTTTTCAAAAAACATACGCTATAGGTGAAGTGAATAAACTAAATTGGCCGTAGTGCATGTGTGTGGAGGGGTGTGTATGTTTCCCATAGCTGGGTTGCAGCTGAAAGGGCATCCACTGTGTAAAACATGCTGGATAAGTTGGCGATTCATTCCGCTGTGGCAATTACTGATGAATAAAGGGACTAAGCTGAAGAAAAATTAATGAATGAATGACATTTGTTGATCATTTTGTGGTTTCTTAATTACTCATAAAGTGCTCAGCATATGAGTAGGCCCACACCCCATTTTGAAAATGAATATTTTTGTCCATTTCTCAGTGGATATATGGGTAATATATATTGGTGCAGTTTAACAAAACAGATTTATTAAACAGACATATTTATTCAAATAATATTTAAGTCACAGAACATCTTTAAAAATGGAAAGATAATACATTTAAATTCATGCAAAATATTGCTAAAATATTACAAACAACAGCATTTCAAGAAAATTGTGTATATAATTTTTTGTTTCTCTTAATTTTTGCTATTTTTGAAATTTGTATTTAATATTTTTCTACAACATAAATTTTTGTAGCCTGCTAGTAGCATATACGTTTGGGCCTACAGTTCTTTTGTTCTTAGCCTATAGATGAATTTCCAGTTTGTAAACATTCAGGATTTGTGCGCAGTGAGGTTGCAGAAAAAAACTGGGAGCGCTAGCATTTACAGCGAGGGAATGACATCCGATGCGGTACAGAGTTTGTTGTTGTATTAGAGAAAAGATATACTGATTACATATTTTATATTTATAAAAATTATTATTTACATAATGCTTTTAGCGTATTAAGAGCTCGTCACCCAGTGATAAGCACAGTTATTCAGCAAAATTAACTTTAAAGTGAGCGGCGTTCATCTGACAGGTCCATTTGCGATAGCACTCTCCCAATGGATTTTGGATACGACGAAATAGCCAAGCATCCAGCCCCTAATATACAACTATCTCAGTGAAACTCCAAGGGATTTTACAAGAGAGAAGTTAAAAGTCTACAAGTCTTTGCATGGCTACAATGTTGTTCTGTGTGGTCATGTGCAAGAAACAATGTTCCATGATGACCAGATATAAAACTGTGTAGTGCTTAAAACCGAGATTCTGCCTAGCCAAAGACAAGGAAAGAAGACGGAGCTGTACAAGGCCTGGGTAATCATCAACAAGCAGAACAACTGCATTCTGACAGTGAACTGCACCTGTACGGCAGGGTACCTGAACGTACATGTTTACATTTCATTCTGAGCATTCAGTGTCCGCAGTTTAATTCACCATATTGAACTGGTTTTGCTGAAATCATTGCTGCAATCAAAAACGAGTAATGTGTGATTCAGCATAGCGTCAACTGACCTGATATAACATGAGAACTGCAGAGTCCAGCATTTTGTGCTATTTGCTATTGCAACCGGTCTTTTTTTTTATGCGCTATTAAATCCGTGTGACGTCATGTGTGTTATGGTTGGTAATTCCCCTGTCGGCTAACTAGTTTATACTACATGGCTATTAGGCTAATGAATTATTAAATAATTTGTAAATAGTTTAAACGCTCTTTAGCTAACAATACGCATCTTATTTTGAAATGCGAATGTGAATTTTAGTTTGAATGAAAATTCGGGTCAAATGAAAAATTGCCGCTAATTTAAAATCGTTAAAAAAAAAATCTCTCAAACTACGGTGTTTATAATTACAACATAGTATACAATATATTTGCAATAGTTATTTGCAAAGCTAAAATAAATGTTTTTAATTTGTATTATTAGTTTATCATTAGGCTATTGTTATTATTATTGTTGTAGTTTTTATCTTCAATTTACCATCTAATTGCTCATAGTCATCAGTTATACATATATGTATCTGAATTTTTATTATTTTTATTGTAACATTTAACTACTATTTAATAAACAAATAAAGCATTTTAAAAATAACTGGAAGGCCTACTAAAACCGGATGTCTCGCACATGCAGTTACAAATGACGTAAAGCTACTTAAACCCAATATATTTTTTTCAGAATGTTCCAGGAATGTTCTTTGTTGGTTAGACAAATGTTATGAGTTTTCTTGCAACTATAACTTAAAACTATCATTTGTGAGTTTTCATCTTGGAATTTTTTACTTGTTTTTTTTACATTGCGAGTTTGTATCTTTGAAATCTGAATTTTATTCCCCAAAGCCGCGAGTTTACTGACTTTTTGTTGTGTCTTAGAAGATACTGTATACTAAACACAACAAACTGTGAACAAAAAGTCAGTTTTGAAGAATTTAGGGAGAGTTTCTCAGATTAAAATGTCACAAATCCTTTAGTTCTAATCCGAGCCAGAATTAAATAAACAGTTATAATATAGTTCACACAGTTGCCCTGCAGAACACCAAAGGCTCTTTGTTCCTCAGATGTGAGGCGTTTGATTCATTCTGGAGAAATCAGAGAGGATTATTCTAACTGCCTGGATTTCTGAATCACAGAAACTGAGACTAGTTTTGTGACTCATTTCCGTGTGTGTGTGTGTGTGTGTGTGTGTGTGTGTGTGTGTGTGTGTGTGTGTGTGTGTGTGTGTGTGTGTGTGTGTGTGTGTGTGTGTGTGTGTTTGCCAGAAAAGACTTGGATCAGATAGCCGAGCTTTCACACTCAATTTTGCAAAATCCAGCAGATCTATGAAACCTGCAATAAACACTGGCTGGAGAATAAACTCTCAGAGCCAAGGTAAGCTGCTCTAGGATCAGTCTTTTCTAGGCCACAATACAACCCAAGGGACGGGGTGATTTTAAGGGCAAGTGTTGTTCGCCAACTACATGAACTGAAGAGACTTAAGGATTAGTGTTATTTCTTGCCCTTATAAAGAACGCTGAAACGTACCTTTATTGTCATATTTTGACTTTTGTGCGTTGGGTAAAAATCCGGCGGCGGCGGGAAAACTTGAGCTAATTTTGTAGCTAAGCTAAGCAAATTAATTAGCATTTTCAAAATATCCACCGAATCAATACAACGATGTATTAGTGAATTAATTATGAAGTGAGTTATAAATAAGTGTGCGTCTTATCCTTTAAATGTACATTATACGTGTTTACATTTTCAAGCCACAAGATGGCGGTGGATCCTCTTCAATGAAAGTCGTGTACTAGCCTGAAAGAAAGAATCAGTCAGTGCTACAGCATATTTTTAAAATACATTACATACATACACATTTTTAAAACTATAACAATATATTAGCCCAATCAATCTACCAGATAACTTGATTAATATAACGTCACCGGAGAAAAACAAACCAACACACAATGTTCTCAGAATTATGAAAATGTTGTCTAATGTTTTTTGGCGCTAAACAAAAAGTTTAATCAAAATGACTTTCAAAGTTTCAGATAACTTTAAATAAGACATTTTCCAGAATTATTGTGCAGAAATACAGGTCTGCATACATCAGCAAAGCGTGCTAGAAATTAGCTGACAAGAACCATACAAATAAGGAAGAGCTGATATATTGGCAAAAAATGATTAGCATATTGCTAAATCCTTTTTAAAGGATATTCCTAAAAAACTGAATGGATGTTACAATCCACATAGAACATAGAATTATGGTGCATGATTTGACCAAGTATGGCTTCCATACAAGCTCTAAACATGAACCATATATCTGGGCCAAGTCTCAGCCAAGCTAATAAGCCATAACTGGGCCAGAATTGTTTGTGTGTCACAATTGCACTGCAATGAATTTTATTTCGCTTTATGGCAACACTTTTTCTCAAAGCGACCCGATTGGTAGAAATTTTTCTTTACTCAAAATTAATATCAATGTATTTTAAAGTGGGTCAATATGGGTCAAACTTACATGGCCCACAAACAACTTTTGAACATCTGGATCAAATAATACGTTTGACATCTGGCCCAAATCTTATGTGCGACCTTAAAGAAGGTGTCACCTCTGTGAAACCCGGGCCATGTTTAGCCCACATGCTGTATGTCAGTGCCGGGGGAATGCCTAGTGAGCCAGCTTTATGCCAACTCTGAGCCAGAATTCTTTGCTACCTGGGAAAATTACCATTCAATATAGTGTGAGCGAACACCAGAATGAAGAAATAAATAAATAACAATAACCTCAGATCAATTTCAAGGGATCAAACACGCTCTTTATTCCAAATATCAAACTGTTATCAGTCACATTTATGTTTTAAGGTGTCTGGATTCTGTCGTCATAAAATACACTGTTTGTTTTTATGAGCCCTTGAGAAGAAAAGCCTTTTTCTTCAGGTTTGACCGTTTTAAGTTTAAATTATCCACGTCCAACAACATGGCTGATAAATATAATGTAGCAAATCTACGAAAAAAACACATCAACATCCAGTCGTTCACGTGTATGAAGATAAAACTGTTTGGTTTGTAAAAAACAAACAAACAAAAAAAATTACGTAGTCCGATAAGTGGCCAACATCATTCCAATGCGATCTCATAGCTTGGTAACTTTCCGATTTAGTGGCTAATTCATATTCATTCACACAATTTTATTTGTACATGTAATTTTAGTACAGTTTGTTCATTCCTCAATGGTGGAGTTTATAGGGCCACGCCTCCTTTAAAAAATCCCCTATATGACCGAAATAGTATGAATACTAACAAATTAGCTACTTTTCTGACAATATATAAAATAGTTATGTTTCCTTGTGAGATCAGACTGATCATTCCCATACTAACAAATACCAACACAAACACAGAGGCTGAAATGAAATGCAGAAAACCAAAATACTTTCTCATGCTTTCCCATTATATAAAAAAACACTAACAAATGTCGTTGCGATCTGCATGTGGCAAAAATAGCAGTAGATCATCAGTGCTTATGTCTGCTTTACTGGAGCAGCAGTGCAGAAGGTTGTGTTTTGGCCTCTAGGTTGTGTTTTTTGTTCTGTAAGTTGTGTTTTTGGCCTGAAGGCGGTTTTTGTCCTGAAGGCGGTTTTTGTCCTGTAGGTTATGTGTTTTGTCCTGTAGGTTGTGGTTTTGGCCTGTAGGCGGTTTTTGTCCTGTAGGTTGTGTGTTTTGTACTGTAGGTTGTGGTTTTGGCCTGTAGGCTGTTTTTTTGTCCTGTAGGTTGTTTTTTTGGCCTGTAGGATGTGTTATTGACCTGTATGGTGTGTTTTTTGGCCTGTAGGTTGTGGTTTTGGCCTGTAGGCTGTTTTTTTGTCCTGTAGGTTGTGTTTTTTTGGCCTGTAGGATGTGCTATTGACCTGTATGGTGTGTTTTTTGGCCTGTAGGCTGTTTTTTGTCCTGTAGGTTGTGGTTTTGTGCCTGTAGGTTGTGGTTTTGGACCTGTGGGTTGTGGTTTTTGGCCTGTAGGTTGTGGTTTTGGTCTGTAGGCTGTTTTTGTTCTATAGGTTGTGTGTTTTTGGCTTGTAGGTTGTGGGGTTTTTTTTTTGGCCTGTAGTTTTTGGTTTTTGTTCTGTATGTTGTGTTTTTGGCCTGTAGGCTGTTTTTTTGTTCTGTAGATTGTGGCTTTTGGCCTGTAGGTTGTGGTTTTGGCCTGTAGGTTGTTGATTTGGCCTGTAGGTTGTGGATTTGACCTGTAGGTTGTGGATTTGACCTGTAGGCTGTTTTTTATCATGTAGGTTTTGTTTTTGGCCTATATGCTGTGTGTTTTGGCCTGTAGGTTATGATCTTTGGCCTGTAGATTGTTTATTTGCCTATAGGTTGTGTGTGTGTGTGTGTGTGTGTGTGTGTGTGTGTGTGTGTGTGTGTGTGTGTGTGTGTGTGTGTGTGTGTGTGTGTGTGTTTGGCCTGTAAGCAGTGCTCTTTGGCCTTCGGGTTGTGGTTTTGACCCTGTAGGTTGAATTTGGCCTGTAGGTTGTGTTTTTGACCTGTAGTTTGTTCTCCAGCCAGTAGGTTTTGGTTTCTGGCCTGTATGTTGTTCTCCAGCCTGTTTTTCTCCAGCAATGTTTTTTGGCCAGAGGGTTGTACTTTTGGCTTGTAGGTTGTGTTTATTGTTCTGTAGATTGTGTTTTGGCCTGTAGGTTGTGGTTTTTGGCCTGTAAGTTGTGCCTGTGGGTTGTTCTCCAGCCTGTATGTTGTGGCTTTTTGCCTGTAGGCTGTTCTCTAGCATGTGGGTTGTGGTTTTTGGCCTGTAGGTTGTGGCTTTTGGCTTGTGGGTTGTGTTTAGGCCTGTAGGTTGTGGTTTTTGGCCTGTGGGTTGTTCTCCAGCCTGTATGTTGTGGCTTTTGGCCTGTAGGCTGTTCTCCAGCATGTGGGTTGTGGTTTTTGGCCTGTAGGTTGTGGTTTTTGGCCTGTGGGTTGTTCTCCAGCCTGAAGGCTGTGGCTTTTGGCCTGTAGGTTGTTCTCTAGCCTGTGGGTTGTGGTTTTGGGCCTATCGGTTGTGGTTTATGTTCTGTAGGTTGTGGTTTTGTGCCTGTGGGTTGGTCTCCAGTCTATAGGTTGTGGTTTTGGACCTGTGGGTTGTGGCTTTGGCCTGTATATTTTTCTCCAGCCTGTGGGTTGTGGTTTGGCTTGTAGGTTGTGTTTTTTGGCCGGTAGGCTGTGGCTTTGGCCTGTAGTTTGTGGTTTTGTGCCTGTAGTTTGTGGTTTTGGACCTGTGGGTTGTGGTTTTTGGCCTGTAGGTTGTGGTCCAGCCTGTGGGTTGTGACTGTAGGAGCCGTTGTGGCTCTGTTGCGTCTGCCATCTGCAATCAGCACAGTGGGTTTCAGTCTTTCACCAGTCTGTAGATGTGATGTTGGGCTCCATGTTCACTGGTGGACACTTCAAACACGTAAGCGATGCATAGTAAGGTTTCTAGAGTGTCTCTGTTGGTTATAACCTATGACAGAGAGGAAGAGACATTATTTATTTGTATAATAGTAATGTTTACTTTATTTCCCACTTATTTAAATGTCCTATTTTGTGTTGATATGTATGTACTCTGACTTGTAAACTCCTTGTGCACGCTTGGTGAATAAATAATAATAGAATAAATGATAGAATAAATTCACGCTTGATGAATTTATCCTGATTCAGATTTTTAATATGCATAATGATTGTTATGAACCCTGGTTTTATCCAAAGGTATTTTATGCCAATCCATGTTTTGAATTTATTGCTTAAAATATAAATTTAGACCTTTCATTATTAGGTTTTATGCCAATTTGGACTTTTATCTTACACTTAGAACTTAATACTGTATGTCATAATTGTGACTTATCTCAAAATATTTTGTGGAATAATTATGAGCTCCACATGTGTATGTCTACTGTGTGTGTGTGCGTCATAGTGATGCTGGTGAGTGTGTGTCTCTGTGAGGTTGTGTTGTGTCAGTGGGTCACACTGCTCTTTGTGTCAGGCTCTCAGCGTCCCACACACTAACCTCAGTGTCACCACAGCCTCATGTTCAACAGTCTGGAGTCTATAATGACTGCTGATGCTAAACTCAATCAACTCATTCTTATTGCTGAGATGCAGGAATCAAATCACGCAAACATGTGGTGGAAAACAAAGAGTTTTGCATGGAACACTTATATACGTATAAGCTGAAAACAAACAAAAAAAAAAAGAACAAAAATATATACTTTATGATTTTTCAATTAATTAAATTCAATTGTATTGTAATTGTACATAAAAAAATGTTATCATATATACATTTTAGTGCATAAATTATAATTAGAAAAACATTTTTTGGAGATGCACTGATACAGAATTTTTGACCGATACGATAACCGATAACTCTAACCGATGGCTGATATATTAGTAGATAAATACAAAATATTACATTTTTCTGGATGATTGCAAAAACAAAAGGCAAACAGTGAACAACAGACTTTATTTTCATATATGATTGAACTTTAATAATAATAATCAACTATTCTTTTCAATGGCCATATAAATAAAATCTAAAGTCTGACCTATAAAATAAAGAATAAGTAATGCAACCAAGTGAATACTAAGCAAAATTAAAATGAGTAAAATAAATACATAATTTATCGGCTTAAAGATATTTGACATGACTGTCAGTGACCACCTGAGGGCGCTGTATTTCAACGGACTCAGAGTATGAACTACAGCGCCCAAAAAGACTACGGCTGCATCCGAAACCACCTACTACTCAGTAGGTACTGCATTTGAATTTAACCGTACTACTCGGCCGTTAGAAAGTACGTTTTATACAGTATGGACGTGAAAAGTATGTATGGAATTCGGACGTACTACATCTGCCATTTTGTCATGGTCACGTGACCTACCTGCGTCAATTGCGTCGCTTTACTCCCATTCATGAATTCGCTCGCGGGGCATCATGGGATAACGCAGCATGCATGGGATGCGCACTCCAGAATTTCGCCGGAAGTAGTAAGTCATCCGGGTACTTCTCGCACTGATTGTATTCACAGCTGTCTCCGTGTCTGTTGATTATCTGGACTATATATTCTATCATTCCACCACTGTTTGTCATCGCGTCGTTTGTCTTCCTTGTCAAGTTATCCAGTAAGTCTAGTATTTCGAGTTGTTGTTCCTGATCTTGTTCTTGTATCTTGTTAAAGTCTAGTTTGTGTTAATCTGTCTTAGTTTCTTGTTTTATTGTTTGTTATTTTGCTACTTTGCACTTTTTGTATTTTTTGTCACTAACACTGCACTATATATCTATTAAAATCTGCACTTGGATCCACAACCTTTTGTTCCCATTTTTGTTTCCGTTTTGATCACGCTAAACGTGACAATATTGGCCTGTTGTTATCAGACCAATAACGCTACCATTAAAAATAGCATTTATCGGCCCGATTTATGCCAATATCATGCATGCCGAACAAAAGTTAGTTTCATAACTGATTCATTTGATCAGATGGTTTAAATTAAATCAAGATAATCAATGTATTAAGTTTACCACCAACCCTTGCAATAACTTTTGCTACTATAGTAAATTGCTGTTATAAGCAAACCCAGTTTTAGTAAAACTTAATACAATAATACTTAATAAATTAGAAATTTGGCAAAAAAAAATTTTTTTAAAAGTTGGTATGCACCGATATGGAATATGGAACCGATATGGAATTCTTTAGCAAACACACAGTGAACAACTGACTTTATTTATATATGACCTATTAAAAAAAGCATAAATAAAGAAACCAAGTGAACACTAAACACTAACCAAATCAAAATATGTAAAAAAAAAAAACATAAAATATCGGCTTAAAGATATCGGCCTAATATTGTTATCAGACCAAAAATGCTACCATTAAAAATAGCATTTATCGGCCGATAACGATACAGATTTGGCTCCCGATATATCGTGCATCCCTAAAAGTTAGTTTCTTTAACTGATTCATTTGAACAGATGGTTTAAATTGAGTCACGATAATCGAGGTTTTTACCACCAACCCTGGTAATAACATTTGATACTAGGGATGTAACGGTATCAGAATTACACGGTACGGTAATACCTCGGTATGAATGTCACGGTACGGTATTTATTGAATCATTTACAGGAAAAAACAAAACTTATGAAAATACTCCAAAAAAGTGCCAAAAGTGTCAATGACATACAAATTAGCCATCTATCTGTAAGCTTTGAAACAGGAACTTCAATTTTAATAACAAAAAAATATTAAACCATGTAAAAAAATAAAGTTTCAATTTAGTATTGTTGAAAACTCATCACATTCAACATTTAATCACTCACTCACTTAGACAGAGATGGCTTTTAAGGAAAATTATCATATAAATATAATCTGGTAAAAGCTGGTATCTCTGGGCATTTACAATCTGCATCAATCTGAACAGTGTGCTGACAACACCGCTATTCAGTACGTGCGCGACAACACAGCTGATAAGAACTCGCGCGACAACACCGCTATTCAGTACGCGCGCGACAACACAGCTGATAAGAACTCGCGCGACAACACTGCTATTCAGTACGCGCGCAACAACACAGCTGATAAGAACTCGCGCGACAACACCGCTATTCAGTACGCGCGCGACAACACCGCTATTCAGTACGCGCGCGACAACACAGCTGATAAGAACTCGCGCGACAACACCGCTATTCAGTACGCGCGCGACAACACCGCTATTCAGTACGCGCGCGACAACACAGCTGATAAGAACTCGCGCGACAACACCGCTATTCAGTACGCGCGCGACAACACAGCTGATAAGAACTTGCGTGACAACACCGCTATTCAGTACGCGCGCGACAACACAGCTGATAAGAACTTGCGCAACAACACCGTTATTCAGTACGCGCGCGACAACACCGCTATTCAGTACGCGCGCGACAACACAGCTGATAAGAACTCGCGCGACAACACCGCTATTCAGTACGCGCGCGACAACACCGCTATTCAGTACGCGCGCGACAACACAGCTGATAAGAACTCGCGCGACAACACCGCTATTCAGTACGCGCGCGACAACACAGCTGATAAGAACTCGCGCGACAACACAGCTGATAAGAACTCGCGCGACAACACCGCTATTCAGTACGCGCGCGACAACACCGCTATTCAGTACGCGCGCGACAACACAGCTGATAAGAACTCGCGCGACAACACCGCTATTCAGTACGCGCGCGACAACACAGCTGATAAGAACTCGCGCGACAACACCGCTATTCAGTACGCGCGCGGCGACAACACCCGCTTTAGAGTTTTCCAGCTCTCATCCCCGCTTCTAGCAGCACACTCCATTTCCGCATTACTGGATCTGTAGCGACAACAGACCGCAAGGGATGATGGTCAAGCATGGGCTGATGGGAATTGTAGTTTCCGCTACCTCCCGTTCGCTTCATTCGCCTGAGCAAATTTTCTCAGAAGACCTATAGTTTTACCGAGTCATGCGACTACGGTAATATCGAAAAAAATTTATATTGCGGTATGATGGTATTTACCATACCGTTACATCCCTATTTGATACCATAGTAAATGTTTGCTGTTATAAGCAAACCCAGTTTTATTAAAATGTAGAAATTGGCAAAAAATGAATAAAGAAATAGCAGGCATAGAATATGAAATTTTTGACAGAGACCGAAAACCGTTAACTAGATTTGGAAACCGATATATCAGCCGATAAATATAAAATGTTCAAATTTTTCTGCATAATTCCCAAAACAAAAGGCAAACAGTGAATAACTGACTGTATTCTCAGAAATATTTAAACTTTAATAATAATCAACTATTCTTTTCTATGGTCAACTTTCCTTTATTTAAATCAAATCTACAACCTGATCTGAAATAATAAAGCAACCAAGTGAACACTGAACACTAAGCAAAATCAAAATATGAGTAAAATAAAATACATAATGTATCGGCTTAAAGATATTGGCCTAATATTGTTATCAGACTGATAACGCTACCATTAAAAATAGCATTTATCGGCCGATACCGATACTGATTTATGCCGATATATCTTGCGTCCTTTTAAAAAAAGTTTACAATTTCTTTATCTGATTCATTTGATCAGATGGTTTAAATTGAATCACGATAATCAATGCAATAATTTTACCACCAACCCTGGTAATAACAATTGTTCCTATAGTAAATGTTTGCTGTTATAAGCAAAGCTGCGTTTACCTGCAGAATGGTGAAGTTTTCAAGTACGCTGTTCATCATGTATTTCTCCGGCAGATGTTTGAGTTTATGGATGAAGTTGATCATGTATTCGCACAGTGGTGAGCGATGGATCCTGAACACGTATCTGCCACTTTCGAAGCGTGCGTACTCCGTCTGAACAGGACAGAAATCAACACACACGCGTCATATAACACTGTTATCATGAGCGAACGCTGCCATTCGTATGCAGATGCAGGAAAGCTCGCTCTGATCTGCACAATAATGTCCCGCACTGCAGCCTTTAACAGCATTACAGGCACCTGTGCTGGACAGGAGACCCTTCTGCTGGAGATATATGCTCTGACCAATCACATTCATTCTGGACATATATACACACACACACACACACATACACTTACATACACAAATACACACGTGAGCAGATACACATTCACACACTCGTACATACAAACATGCATGCACACACACAATGCATACAGACACACGAATGCACGCACACACATAGACAAAGATAAGCATCCAAATACACAGACAAGAAAAAGCATGCACACACACACACACACACACACGAACACAGACGTGCACACACACTCTGACACATGCACACACACACAAACATACAAGCAAATGCATGCACACTTTCCATACACAAATGGACACACACACACACATAGATATAACAAATTCATGCAAACTCTACATACACAAATGGAATCTCTCTCTCTCTCTCACACACACACACAATCAAACACACACACGCACACACACACACACACACACACACACACACAGAGACAACAAATGCATGCACGCTCTGCATACACAAATGGACTTACAAACACACACACACACACACACACACACACACATTCACACACAGAAAGGAACACACAAATGCGCATAGACCCTTGTGTATAAAAACATGAACAGACACACAAACATGCACATACATTATTTGCACACGAACACACACACTAATACATACAGAAATGTGCGCACACAGTCACACGCAGACGCACATACTAGCATATACAAACAGACACATGCACACACACACACATACCCACATATATACACACACACACACAGAGACACAGACACACACACACACACACACACTCTCACCTCCACCTTTTCCACCACCTGTTTGCCGAATGAGCAGACTTTAGTGGAGGAGGTGATGATCATGTTCTCTGAACTCTCATATTGACTGGACACACCATAGAAGAAGCTGCTGTCGTCCTGCAGGTTAATGCTCAGATCCGCCTGTGCACACACACACAACAGCAGCACAAAATCACACTCTATACAAACATGGTTTACACTTCATCCCATTTGACATTTTGGCCACAAATGATCCAATAAATTTAATATATTTACATCATATTTTGTTAAGACGCCTGTAAATGTATCATATTTTAGATTATTTAATATCGTGTTTACAGTCTTTAATAATCTTTCTAGCATATAACATACATACAGGGTGATTCCAAAAGAATACAACAACTTTGAAAATCTGTATTTCATTAAAGAAACATGATGAAAACTCGAGTAATTAATCAATGTGAAGAGTACTAAGAGTTTTTCAAAACAGAGCTTCCTTAAATCGACCACAGAAAGAGCTTAGCTCTCTTTTTATTAAGTTCTTGATTTTCAAAGTTGTGGTATTCTTTTGGAATCAACCTGTATAACAGCTTTATATATACACACACACACACACACACACACACATATATATATTATATATATTTATATTTATATATAT